CGCCTGGCCTGACCGGCTACTAGAGGTGGCACCATCGAAAAACGAAAAACTCTGGCTAGCTTTTGATTGAGTATCTTGAGGTGATTTGTAAAATGTATCGAACTCGAGAAGATCGGAAGACATGGCTGTTGATGGGACAATTGATGGGACAATTGCTCGTAAATTGTGAGTTGCTATTGCTTCATGGGCTTCATGAGTATTAGTATTTCCAAAGATGTATGGGTTGGTGTAGCTCGTCTTCTCGAGATTTGCATGTCGAGGATCGATAGTTAATGATGTCGAGGTATAATTGATTCCGCAATTCTTGTGACAATTGATCCGGGCCAGAACGAAACAATGCAGATTTTATATCTCTTTATCCACACAAACTCCACACGGATGAAATGCAGGACTTACCATATTTAAAGTCTATTCTTATGTGAGCTTCATCTCAAAGTATGTGGATACTTCGTCTCAGGAAAATGAATACCAACTGGAGAATACAACGGTTGGAGTGCATGAGATGACGATGATTGGGTGAAAAGTACGAAACATAATATTGAGGTACCTAATGTTGCTAGTGCGGTGTTCCATATAAATGCGATGGAAGGCTGACAACAAGACCGATGGATATGGTCGTGTTTGATTGGTTAAAGCTGCTTCAAACTGACGCTAAATAAAACTTGGTTTAAAACCAAAAAGTAAAGCTCAGCCTTGTCCCCCCCCCACTCCACTCCATGATTTAAATAGTCCGAGAGATAGGAGTGTCGTCACAAACCTCCCTTTTTCGGACATCACATTTGCTCGTGATAATGAGGTCTTTGGAAGATTCTAGGTAAGAATTTTTAGAAAATCAAAAAGCTTCTTCCTCTCTCTGCTCGTTATTGTTCTAATACAAGAGTGAGAAAAGAAAGAGATGGCAGGTGACGATAAAGTCCGCATCTAACTTGACCGAACTCAAGAAATCCGTGAGGATCGACGGAGAAAATAGTCCTTGTAACGGAGGGTTGAGATCTATCTGTTGGAAGGTAAGTTCAAAGTTTCATCTTGGTGTACTCTTGAGTAACATTTTTACAGACATTTTTATTGTTTCAAAACACAGAGATCACGAGTTGGGCACGAGGACTTGAGGATTCACGAAGTGCTTATACCTCTTTAAGAGAACATTTCCTGAGATTTATCGAACATCCAAATGATCTAGGATCTTCATTGGATCCTCTGGATGATGATAAACACGTGAGTTCTTTAATTCTGTCTTTATGTATTCTGGGAATTTTGTCCAAATATACTGAGAGACTTTGAGTCACCATGGAATACCCTTCGGAAAGATGAAGAAATTCGTGCCGAAATATTTCAGGATATCGAGAGATGCATGCCAGAAGAACCATACTTCCGTCGCGCCGACGTTCAAAGATTCATGCTGGATGTGTTATTTATCTTTTGCAAAATCAACCAAGACGTTGGTTATCGTCAGGGCATGCATGAGATACTGGCTCCAATTCTATGGGTAGTGGAGCAAGATTCTATTGACCCTGGAGACATCAATAGTGACACGAGTGAATCAGGAACAGATTCATCAGATTCGATTATGAAGCAGTGTTTGAATCGTAAATTCATCGAGCATGATGCCTTCACTCTCTTGTCTTTAGTTATGAGATCAGCAAAGTCATTTTATGAATTAGGTGACCCCGGTCAAAAAACACCTCAAATTGTTGGCGGAACACCTCAAAATGGCGCATCTCCTATTGTTGAAAGGAGTAAGCGAATTCATGAAGTATACCTGGCTCGTGTAGATCCGCGACTAGCCAAACATCTTACAGATATTGAGATACTACCACAAATATTCTTGATGTAAGGATAAAAATTGGTAACTTTGACTACTGTTCATCTGTTGACGGAGTATATAGACGTTGGATCAGGTTGCTCTTCGGGCGCGAGTTTCCTTTCGTTGATCTTCTATCAGTATGGGATACTCTTTTCGCTGAGGATCCAGAACTAGATCTTGTGGATCTTATATGTGTAGCAATGTTACTTCGAATCCGTTGGCAACGTATGCGATTCACCTTTCACAGTTTTGTGTAACGACTAACTTATAAATCAGTAATGGAATCGAACTACTCGCTGGCCCTAATGTTACTACTTAAATATGAGTGTCCTCCAAATCCTCAAACTTTCGTCGATGATGCAATCTTCTTACGAGATAATTTCAATGCTAGCGGCGGATCCAAGATTATTCATAAATATAGTGGCAAGTTCCCGCATCGAGATAAATCGTCGCCACCACCTGATGCTCCTATTGAAGAAAGTCTCAGTCCTAGACAGCTACTCATGCGAAATAGATCCTCGTTGACTAGCCCTGCTCGGTTCTTGCAACAACAAGGAGGCGTTGAAGCGTTGATTCAAGGTGCTGCAAAAGGTGTTTACAATAGGGGAGAGCGTCTTGGCATTAATCAAGCTGTACGCGATGCAATGGAAGAAGTGAAGAAGAATATGCAAGGACTACAAACTCCAAGAAGTAATAATTCTCCTAGGAGGGCTAGTGGTGCTTCACGGTGGTCTCTTGACGATGGGCGTGTGATGCCTGCCTCGACAGCTATCATGGCAACAATGAACGAAAGAAACCGGCAATTGGCTGTCATGCTAGATCACGCAATGAAAGATCTGAGATCGGTTTCTGTGTCAAAAGAAAGTAATCGGGAAAAGTGCATCGAGGCAATGGACATGGCTATTGCGAAAGTTGATTTCGTAAAAGTTTACTTGGAGGACTCTACTATGCCACTTCCGATTCTTTCACCAATTATCGATGGTAAGAATGAGCCTGCTACGCCAGAAGCAGATATACCGAAAGTTTTATTGCCACCAATCTCAGATCACGGGCAGACAACTTCACCAGAGACTTCCATCATGACCACTGACCCAGGCGATGCTCTGGCAAAAAAGACAAATGACCTAGACGAGCCATCCATATCAACGCCTGACATTCGTCAAACTCCAAGGGAAGCAATTGATCTCTCCTCAAACGAACCGTCTACAATTATCGAACCCGAGATCGAGAGAGATGCTTTGAGATCTGCAACAACCGAGCGACCCAGAGCACCAATCCCCACTAGATCTTCGATTGCTCAGTCATCGTTCTCCTGGATGCTAGAACCAGATCAAGCATCTAGCCCCACGATAAAATCTTCACCTCCAAAGAGCTCTTCTCCGTTTTTAAGAACCGGAAAGCGACCTACATCTGGTGCTGGTCGAGAAAAGGCAGCGTTTCTGTTTGGGGATGATGATGGTGACTTCAAACTTCCAATACCAAAATCTCCATTGCCAAACGCCGAAGAAGCCTTCAAGCTAGGAACATTGAAACGAATAAAAGAGAAACAACCCGATGAAAATACGGTTGAATAGTATGGCTATATTATCTCTTTTGTCTATCCAACAACACACTTCATCATCGGATTCATCAGTAAACGCGAATCCATCAATACACGAATCACGACGCGACATCGACTTGATCACTTGTTACAACTCATCTATTAAATATGATAGAAAAAGGACGAATGGGGCGATCTCCTAACATCAGCTGGGAGCCTGACCTTTTTCGAACGTCGGATAGCAGAACACTACTGCAAGCTGGCAATGCAGGTATACGCGAAATGTAGGAAGCCTCGAATTCGTATAGGTATTTTGAGTAACACCAGTTGGAACTGGCTACTCATCACATTTCATAATTGACCCCGACAATCCCTCGTATCAGGATTTGCAAAGCCCCAAGACTAATGAGTGTCATCATCGGAATATGGGTCAGCGTTGTAACTAAGGGAATGGTCATAGGAGGCAGACAATATCAAATTATTTCATATGGTTAACGAAATTAAGCAGTATATATGTCAAGTTTCTCAACCTATTCATTCATGCTGTCTTTGGTGTTGGTTTTACCATAAAGAGGAGTCATGTACAGGTGACTATAAGCCGTTTCTTCACCCGCGATTCCCCCCCCTATGAAGTTCTCCTTTCATGTAAACGGAAGGATACAAGCATTTGAATCTCAGGGGCTCGAGGCTCTTCTTGACATTTCGCCTTAGTTCGAACCCTTGAAAGCCTTGGGGGCTGGTTCGCCATTTGATTAACCTTACTTCAAGACACAACAAGTAGATACAACATATACCAATGATATCAAAAGAATACAGTCCGCCTCTCTGCTATTGTTCTTTATGTACAACAAAGTTGTTGAAATGGTGAAATGTGTACTTCATGCAGACAATCCAAGGACATGATTTTGACTAGCTATCTACCTACCTTAGTACCTACCTAGGTAAGCTCAGCTAAGGATTTTGGCACAAATGCCCCACCCTTTCTAAAACCACAGTCGGTGTGTCTCGAACAAACTTTGAACCCCGCCCTTCCAATGATTAGCGTCAAAATCATTCCCAGTAAAAAAAAGCAAAAGCACTTTCCAGGTTCACCAGCCATTCCCTCTCTCCTCTCCCCTCTCCCCTCCACAAACAAAAAGATTCATCGATTTCTTTCAAAGAGAAATATCAATCACACCTTCTCCTCCCCTTTCCTCTTTTTCCTCTCCCTCCTCTTCGTCCCTTCCCACCCCCCCCAACTCAACTCTCAACCTTTAGTCACCCCCCACTATCTATCTAAATCCATCTTCTTTTCCCCTCTTCAAGGTCACTCGGACAACCCTTCATCCTCCTTTATCTTCCCGATAACACACCTCGAACTCTTCACACACAACTACCTCCCACAACTAGTCTGTCTCTTGGTATCTGCAATCAAGGTATGCTTCTATATTAATTCTCCTTCTTTTGCTCAAGTCGCAATGTGTGCCTTTACATTGCATTCCACTGGCGCATTCACTATCGCATTCAGATAGTGAGATATGTCATTGTCTGCGGATTCTCAATTCTTCAATTTACAATTATCTCTCTCAAGTACTAATCTTCCATCGATCAGATCTACTCAACATTACCTCACTCAACTTTCTATCTCCCAGAAGTTGAAACTCAAACAAATACAAAATGTCTTCTCAAGATAATCGCGACAATGCTCCTAATGGTGATGAGCTCAACGATTCCATGGATCGCTTACAAGTCAATGATGAGGCTCGTCTTGGCCCCGATGGCGAACCACTCCCAAAGACCGATGAAGAATATGCAGAATCTCAACTCACCTTGAGAGCTATTGTTTCTTCAAAGGAAGCTGGTGTCATTATCGGCAAAGGTGGCAAGAATGTCGCCGACCTTCGTGATGAGACTGGTGTGAAAGCCGGTGTCAGCAAGGTCGTTCAAGGTGTTCATGATCGTGTCTTAACCATCTCAGGTGGATGCGATTCTATTTCCAGAGCTTACTCCATTGTTGCGAAAGCTTTATTGGAGGGCGCACCACAAATGGGAATGGGTGGAGTTGTTTCTAACAACGGTACTCATCGTAAGTTACAGTCTATGCCATCATATAAACACTTAGTCTAATTTTACTATCTAGCAATCAAGTTGTTGATCTCTCACAATCAAATGGGTACGATCATCGGTCGACAAGGACTCAAAATCAAGCATATCCAGGACGTTTCCGGTGTTCGCATGGTCGCACAAAAAGAAATGCTCCCACAATCCACCGAACGTATCGTGGAGGTCCAGGGTAACCCTGAAGGCATCCAAAAAGCCATCTGGGAAATCTGCAAGTGCTTGGTCGATGACTGGGCTAGAGGAACCGGTACTGTTTTATATAACCCGATGGTTCGCACTCAAACCGGTAGTTCAGGCGGTATGGGCCAAGGCAACGTTGGAGGAACTGGTCGTGAGTATGGTAGCTCACGTGTCATGCGCACTGGAAATGGTGCCGATTTCAGTGAGAGTGCTCCACGATCATACAACCGCCGTTCTGAATCGGATGCTGCTCAACGTGGACCCCCTACTCACGATGAGAACGGAGAGGAACTCCAAACACAAAACATTAGCATTCCAGCTGATATGGTTGGATGTATCATTGGTCGGGCTGGTTCCAAGATCAGTGAGATTAGAAAGACCTCTGGAGCTCGTATCTCCATCGCTAAGGTAAGCTTTCTTTATCCTGAGAGAGTTAAAAGCTCCCCCACAAAGATATCTCTATTGACATATACATTAGTCTCCTCACGATGAGACTGGAGAGCGCATGTTCACCATTATGGGTACTGCTAAGGCTAACGACTCGGCTCTCTATCTTCTCTACGAGAACCTCGAGGCCGAGAAGCAACGCCGCAGTCAAGGCAATGCTCAAGAATGAATTACTAGCTCTATTTGAGCACATCGAATTTCTTTTTCAGGCAGGCAAGCTTTGTCTCAGGTCTATCCAGATTTGACTTGCCGCAAGGCTGATATTGATGCGATGATTCTACCTTGGGATTCGCTGGTAATTTTTCCTCGGACCGATATTCCTTTCCCCAACAAAAGCAGTTCCTTTACCATTTTCATTTCCACTTCTTGCGGCACGGAATTTTACGAAATTATGCTCATTTGCATGGTGCACATACGAGTTGCCCTTATGCAAATGTCATTCCCCTATTGATACAAATGATTCGCCTCAACATTCGACAACCAGAGATACCGACCTCCTATCTCGACTCTCAGCTTTCCGAAGTCCCCAATCGAACGAACGAGAATCGACCTAATCTCGTCATTCATGCCGGCTATGACCAGATAATTCTCTTAAGTTACGAATCATGATATGCACATTACCCGTTAAATCATATGCACTCGACACAAGTTTCCCACTCGTCTTCCACATCGCTCCTTCGAACACCAATACGTCCGCAACACAAATAGCCTTACGTCTTCTCGACCTTTGATCTCATACTACGAAATAGGCCCATCAACACATCCAGATCTGTTCTGAGAATGTAGTAGATAGACCATTGAGTAGATTTAGAACAATACGAGTATTCCGAACAATGAATTTATTTAAAATACATGTAATAGATGCAAGATCTTCGAAGTGAATCCAGTTAAATGTTCAACTAAATCATCGTGTGCTCTGTATTTACTATGATTTATGATTTATGACCAGGATCTGTACTAGTATATTCCAATGTTTGCTCTGGGGTATCTTTCCCATTCTATACCATTCACCCTCTACTCTAAAATTACCACTTCCAATCAAGCCCCTTTTCTTCGTAAAATATCATCCTCTGCCACCATTATAATCTGCACCTCCAGCCTTCCTACACAACTTGACAATCTCTGCCTCGTCCACATCCTCCATACTTCTCGCATCTATCGACACACTATGGTGATTCAAGACAGCCTTGACAGCACCACTCTCAATGCTAACTCTCGCCTTCCTCATAACTTTTGTCTGTTCTCCAATCCACGTAATAAAAGCAAATTTCACCCTAGAAGATTCGCTATCATTGGCATATTCAACCCGTAAATACGCATATTGGGCTTGGGTAGGATCCAATTTCTCACGCAGTTCAGAGATGCCGCCCTCTCCAGTTGCAGTGAGGGTCAGAGCATCTCCTATGGCTTTGGCATAGGATATTAAGAGCCAATTTGTGGGGGATTTGTCGGAGCGGACATCGTCGTAGGCGGCGAGAATTTCGGGGGATTTTGCGTTAGACATTTTGAGTTGGATTGGGCTTGGGTTTGAGGGAAAAGAAGGCTCTGAGAGGATGATTGTGCGGAGTGAATTGGTGGGAGTATCGAAGGGTTCGTGAGGTGAAGTAGAATAGTGGGGTTTCGGTGAGTATATGGGATGTCTGTTTATACTTCTGGATGGAGTGGAAATATGACGTTTCGAAAGTTTGAGGTGAGAAGTTTAAGTGTCTGACTGTTGACTCTCAACACTTATACTTTCATAGAAGGAAGAGAAATGCAAACGTAAAGCAAAATAACGTAAAAGCACCAAAGGGAAAATATGAATGGGAGAGACCCACGGAACAACAAAATGCCAGCTAATCCGTAGGGACCCTTTCATAACTTACCTACCAACCTACCTAGAACAATTGCGGATTGAAACTATTCCATGTTTGAACGTGAGGGGATCAGACCGCCTTTTTTAGTACTGTAATGCAGATAGGTAAGCATAAAAAGAGTTTGGTGTGGCTTGTACATGGTCGGTGGTTGTGTGGCTTGTACATAGTAGGTGGTAAAGTAGATCTAGATGTGAGATGTGGCTCGTTGCGACTACCTCGGACCTTCCTAGGGAAAACAGTTGAGGACATTTGGCATTTGGAAATATACACATCTTTATTGATTTACCCGTTGCACCTTTTCTACTTTGCTTTCTTTTACACTCTTTTCCTTTCTTTTCTTTTGCCTTCGTTACTCTACTTGATACCCATTTGCCTTGACTATTCCTTCGGGACTTATCCCTTACTTTCATTTCATTTTGCAACGGCCCTTTCTGATTTCCCTGTAGCATCTGGAATAACGAATTGCCAAAAGATGGCGAGAACAAAACAAGCGGAACCTTTGCGTCGCAATCCATCTTCCGAATACACGAGTAAAGCAGATGCGACCGGGGCGAGAAGCTTAAGTGCTAAGAAATCGAACAAGAAACTGAATGGGAATGCGCCGACACAGAATGGTGCACGCAAAAGTGATGCGCTATTGAAAGGGAAGACACAAAAAGAAGCTGGCGCATTGCAATTGATATTTGCCGTTGCTGGAATTTATGGTAGCTTGTGAGTGATAGCACCGGAGAGGATTATTAATGGTCTTCATTCGAGGAAACAAGAATGCTAATTGTATAAATGCATAGTCTTACTTGGGCACTTCTTCAAGAACGACTCACTACAACTGCATACGGATCAGAAAAAGCACCTGAAAAGTTCAAATTTCCAGTCTTTCTCAATACGGTACAATCCCTTTTCGCTGCCACGGTAGGCTACATTTACCTACGATTCGATACTCCCGCCAATAGCAAAACGCTACCCATCTTCCCAAGTCAACGGATTATCTTTCCCCTTCTCGTTGTGGCCATTACCTCCTCACTCGCCTCCCCCTTTGGCTATGCATCTCTTGATCACATCGACTATATCACGTTCATTCTCGCCAAATCATGCAAATTACTACCAGTCATGTTTCTTCACATAACTCTCTTTGGAAAACGCTACCCAATTTCTAAATATGTCGTCGTCTTAGCCGTAACTTGTGGTGTCGGTATCTTTACTCTCCATGCAGGTGCTAAATCTCATGGAAAACCTAGCAAAGCGGCACTTAACCCAGATCGCAATACTGCATGGGGACTTTTGCTCCTAGGAGTCAATCTTTTATTCGATGGTCTCACAAACACAACACAAGATTGGATCTTCACAAGCTTCCAACCTTATAAAGGTCCACAAATGATGTGTGCAAATAATATTATAAGCACTTTACTTACAACATCATATTTGCTGTTGTCACCATATCTTGTTCATACTGGATTGGGAGAGTATTTGGGTATGGATCTTGCAAGTGGCGCAGGAGAATTGGCAGGAGCATTGGCTTTTATGCAGAGACATCCAAGTGTTTGGAGAGATGTACTTGGATTTGCAGCTTGTGGTGCTGTGGGACAGGTTTTTATCTGTACGTTTCCTCCCATTCTTTCTTCTATCTCATCAAGAGCTATCTTATCTTGAGAATCAAACTAACATTCAAAACAGTTTACACACTTTCAACATTCTCGTCTCTTCTCCTAGTAACCATAACTGTTACTCGCAAGATGCTCACTATGATCTTATCAGTAGTATGGTTTGGTCATACACTAGGCAGTAAACAGTGGATGGGTGTAGGATTAGTATTTGGTGGAATTGGAGCTGAAGGTGTCATCGCGAGAAGAGAAAAAGCAGCCAAGGAAAAGAAGAAGTTGGCCGAGTCGTCAAAGAAGGAATTGTAGACACGAAGATGAGTGTATGATATTGGAGTAGTCAGATGATTTCAGAATATAAGATCAACTATCAAAGATTGATGGGAGGCGTTTGGGTTATCTAGTACCACGATTCTTGGTATTGGTAAGGAAGGGTTAGAATTTTATGGGGGGGTTAGAAATAGATAACTAAAGAAGGTTTTCGCATTACCAACATTTGGCTTACTATGGATACTCACAACGTATAACCAACAACCAACAACAGAAATCTCATTTAAACTGCTAGTCAAAATATCACGATTACCTAGTGGTAATATGATGTGCCGTAAAGTGTGGGTATAGACTGCACTTTATATATCGTTCAGATTTCCAAAGCTCTCGTTGTGACTTGTTCTTGTGAATGCGAATTATTGATATTGAAATCCCACACTAGCATTTCAGGGAATCAAAGATTTAAGGACGATGGTAGATGAGAATTTGGAAATGCAGGATGAGGTGGAACATAATCTCGTGATTGTTGGAGCAGGTGTGGTCTTTTCTTCACCTTAAACATTTTAATCTTCCAAAATCCATTCCGTCGTCATTCTAATCATTTCTAATTTACGCACCTTACCTTTCTTCCCTTCCTCAAGTTGTTTGGCTAGTTGTTGACGGGTATACCACCCCCCAATAGGTCCATCTGGTATAGTTTTAGCTCGCTTCTATCTCCCACTTATCCTACTCATCGTCTCGCTATCCTTGAACCAGAAGATGTTATAGGAGGGGTCTGGAGTTCCGGTATTTTCTCTCCTTTCTTGATTTTCCCTTGAAACACCCTCCTTTCACACCATTTCATACGCGGCATTCCCTAATCTCCACACACAGCACGTCAATACCCAGGATTTCGCTCCGAATCCGGTCTTCGCATGATAGATTTCTCGGATACACCTATTGTTCTTCCTCTAGATGTAGAGACGTATCATGACACGTTTGAGGCAAAATATGTGACGAAGTATCTAGAAGGATATGTCGATGTACATGTTTGTAATGAGAAGAGTTTGAGGGATCGAGTGATCTTTGGGTTCAAAGTAGGAGGCATTGAGAAGATTGATGGGATTTGGTCGGTTTGGAGCGAAGCCCACGAGAACGGAAATGGGAATGAGCATAACAGAATGATCAAAACCAGAAAGCTAGCTATAGCCACTGGTCAGAATTCTCTTCCTTACTTCCCGTCATTGCCTAATCAAGCGAACTTTAAATCACCCATCGTCCACCAAGAACACTTTGGACAAATATCCACATCAGCCCTCGCACCAGATTCCCCCTACACGGCAATAATCATTCTCGGGGGAGGTAAATCTGCCGCAGATATGGTATACGAATGTGTCAAAGCCGGCAAAAAAGTGTCCTGGCTCATCCGCCAATCGGGCGAAGGACCCGGCATATTCGCTGGTGCCAAAGGACGAGGCCGGTACCGCAACGATGCGGAAATGTCTGCCACGTGAGCCTTTTCCGTATTGAGTCCCTCGTGTTTCGCGGAGCAGACTTGGTTGTCGAAATTTGTTCATCGCTCGTCGATTATAAATTCCATCGTGTCGAGGATATGGAGAGGTGCAGATGAAGAAGCTGCGAAGCTTGCGGATTTCGAGAGAGGGGATGCACTACCCGGGTTCGAGGGCTTGAAATTTGAAAGCGATTTTTTTTTGGTGTAATGGCCCCATTGGACTTATCCACCATGATGATTTTTGGGATACGGTGATGAGGAATGTGAGGGTTTATCGGGGGGATGTTGCGAATTTGGATTCTCATGCGATTGTGTTAGAAGATGGGACGGTGATTCATACAGATACGTTATTATGTGGCACGGGATGGAAGCGAGGATATTCCTTTCTCACTCCTGCACAAACTCGCGAATATGGATTACCCCATCCAGTAATCGATGATTCTGAGGAAGAATCGCGGATTTGGGAGTCTCTCACTCAAAACGCAACGCGAGAAATCCTCACTTCGTTCCCGAAACTTCGAAATCCGCCAGGCCCGATACACACCCATAATGAAAGTAATCGACCAGTTCCAACCCACCCCCACGCGTCTCTACAATCTCCTCGCTCCTCTCCACGATCTAGAAAATTCCTCTCTCGTCTTCCTCTCTCACATCCACCTCTCCAATGCTTTTCGACTCGCTGAAGCCCAAGCTATCTGGACCACCGCCTATTTCTCCTCGCATCTCTCTCTTCCTGGCTTGCAAGAAGCGAGACGCGGAATTGCATACCAGAATGCGTTTTCGAAACTGAGGTATCCGATGCATGGGGAAGGGGGAAATTATTTTCATCTGGATTTGGTGGGGTATACGGATTTGTTAATGAGGGAGGTGGGGTTGGGAGCCATAAGAAGAAAGGGTGGTGAGGGGATTTGGTGATGCCGTGTGTGGCGGGGGATTATGGGGGGTGAGGAGGAGGAGGAGAGGGTGGTTAGGTAGAGGTAGGGTGTAAATTTCATGGTTGATGATTTGTGAGCGAGTGATTTACTTTTTGGTTTTGGAGTAGATTCACTCGATCTTTTTTAATTTTTCTCCCGTCTTATATTAAAATCAATCTTTTGTAGATAAACAATGAATATTTCAAATAATCAACACTTTCATTATTTCTTTAGGGAAAGTTATTACAAGAATATCTGCATCTCTATCTCCATTATCAATCTAAGTCCCATTCCCAATCCCACCTGCAACCCCTGAACCCACGACCCCTAAACCCATCTTATCTCACACATCTTCCCACAACCACACCCTCCCAAATTCCAATTCACAACAGAGAAATAACTTTGTGTCCATACCTACCATACACACCCAGTCTCGATACAAATCTAACAGAAATATCATATCTGAAAACATATTTATCGCATACTTAGCTGGTACTCATGTACTAACTTTTAAGTCTGCTAAGCGAATATACATTAGTTCCGCGCTAGTGGATGGACATGATTCAAAATCCATACATGTCTGAAAGTAGAAAAGATAGAAATTGCAGAGAAAGCGAGATCCTGGAAGTAGATATATGATATGAGCATAGAAAATAAAGTGAAATGTAAAACAAAACCCTAGTAAAGATATAGAGTTTAAACACTCGAAAAATCTCGGCGAGATTTCCTATTCTTCATCTGGGGATCCCAAACAAGTATGTAGTATTTCCAATTTTCCGAGCTATAATTTTAGGGTTGAGATTTCGATAGTAGATGGGTGATCTTGTTAATTTTAGAGATCTGTTTTGATATTTGAGATGCTTTTCGGTAATTGGGAGGGGTTGAGTTGAGATGAATGGGCTGGAGTTTGTGATTGTTGGTTGGAGCGAATGAATGATTGAAGTTTGAATGGAGCATTGAATATTCTGCAGGAGATTGTTGGGAAGCTGGGAAGTTGGGAAGCTGCGATACAAGGAATATAGAGAGTCGATGTATTACAAACAGAAGAGGGAAAGTTAGAATACATCATTCAAATATCCGAATCTGCAACCAAGGAGAGAAAAGCAAAAAGGAAGGAGAGAACGCCATATCAATTCTCTACTTTCTCATTCGAAGGAATGAGGATTCATACTCATACTCTTTACAAAGAATAAGATGTTATGGCGTCCTGTGCAATACTCTGAGATCCGATAGTATATACTTCGATTTTGTAACAAATATCGTTATATCAGAAGTCTGAATATTTGTATACAGCAACGTAAGATATAAAAGCATGTCAGCTCAGCTATAGTATGAACTAAGCATAGGGATTAGTAGTTTATTCCCGTTCAAGACTTCCAACTAGTTTCATATATCATAGAACCATTCTTATACTTGCATATACTTTTATATTATTGTGCAGTCTTACCATATAATTATGATTCGATGATTTATTTTAACATGGAAATGACACCCCTCTTGCATCATACACAAACTTTCTGTCGAAACCTCAGCATGATAACTTCCTCGCAGGCTCTAAAATATCGACAAAACTATGCAAGTTTAAAAGCCTCCATCTCCCATCCTAACCTTTTCGCAATATCTTCCATACTCTTCTCTCGCCATTCTTCTTTTTCCCATTCCAACTGCGCACCAAATGTACATACATTGATGCGCTCAAAAGTGTTCGAATCTGAGGTTTCGCCCAGCAGCATCATGTGAAAAACTCTCTCATAACTTTTCAAAAAATGATGTCTTTCATCTCCTGAAGCATATACCCATGCCTTGAAGACATACTCCTCATTATCCGTAACATTCATCCTCCGCTCTCTTGCCAACCTCAAAAGCCAATGCTCTGTCACCAAAGTTGTTCTATACGAACCACACACTTGCCGGCTCTGCTCGGGATTTGAGCTAATGGGAACTGGGAGATGTGTGAACCATCCAAAGACATGGATAAAGCGCACGTTTCCCGTTAGCATAACCTTTTGCGCAAGGTCAGCAAAATCCGCTTCGCGAGGCCACGGGAGTATGGTGCCGTTCTCGAACTCGAGGCTAAACTTTTGGTCATGCATTATATCTATATCTTGCCTCATGTACCTTAGGCTCAGAATTTCTTAGGGCCAGTCGATGCAATGTTTTGGCCGTGGTCGAAATATCACTGGGATGTGATAATTATCTGGATATTGTCTTTCCGTTGTGAGATCATAGTCGATAATTTCCATCCGGCTGCCTCCTTTGCCGCTCCGAGTACCTCCTGCATCGCATTGAAAATAGCACCGAGTCTCAGTGAACACGAGCTTTCGTCTTGAAAACAAAGCCTCTTGATAGGTCCATCCGCGCGTATTCCACACGGAATTATCGATCTCATGCTGGATGTTACTGACCCACTGCACCAAATGAACGGAATTCACTTGCAGAAATTTTTGCACGGGTATTCTAGGCTTGGTGACGCCAGGGAGGCCTTCACTTGGGCGTTTGGAAGTAGTGGCGATTATCGTAAGAGTAGATTGTGAATAGATCTTATCCATATTCTTGATGAGAAGGGGTTTAACATCGGAAGAATCATCTTGAGGAACACAGTATCGATCAATCCACAAGTATCTGTAGCCGAGAGCTATGACAACCTTGATGACATCGGTTATAAGATCCGGAAGAGTAGACGGCAATTTTCCAAACTGATCTGGCCCTTCTGATACTTCGGATCCCCAGACGTAGCTCAGTGTGATGTACTCCATGCAAGTGGTACCTGGCACTAGGATATTCCTCCCGTCCTTACAGTCGATCACTGTGAAGCCTTGAAGTGGAATGCCATCTTTTGGTAGACAACTAAAGTTAGAATTGGCATGGGTTTCATTGCACAGCTGAATCCATTCCCGGACGAGAGCCAAATCGGTCTGCAATGATAGATCACGTATAGCTACTCCATCCTTATAAGCATCTGCGTTAGAAAAGCCGAATACTGTATTATGAAAATGGCTCATGGGATGATTGGCAAATTCACCAGCTACGAGGTAAAAAACAATGATATCGTTGTAGGCGGGCTCAAAGCCAAACAATTATCCTGCAGTTGACCTTGCGAGGGAAAAATATTCTTCGTCCTCGTATGCCTCCTCAATTCTGATCGAATGGAAAAAGTTGCAGAGCTTGCAAAACAGCTTGAGCTCGTCAATTTTGAAATTATAGATAAGTTGAGGGAAGCCTCCCTCTCTTCTGATTATTCCTCTGAACACTTTTTGCTCCAGAAAGAACCAGCCCACGATTTGATCGCACTTCTCACAAAGACTGATATTCTTAGCTTTCTTTCCGGCCGCCAAAACAGCTTCATGGATTTCCTCTTCGCTCATATCGTTCTCTTCGCAGTCATCTGAAGGTACGTACGAGCTAGTCGTACAATCCATCGTGGAGGAAGTAGTATTTTTGGGATGTATGGTGCTTGGACTTCAAAAATGTAATACCTGAGCGCCGTCAGCATCTAGAAACCTAGTACAGGTGCGGTAAACTTCGCAAAAAGCTAAGAGGTCTCAAAACGCTCCAATCAAACGGTTCAAAATACTGATAGATCTTTTTGATGTAGAGTTTAGAAAACAAAGTAAATTTTGGTGCCTCGAATTCCTTGTCCTGATGGAGGCGGGGTGCTCTCTGCACACGACACGAGACGTATTCATATGTTCAAGGATTGTATTCTAGCCATGTCATTTGTTGACATCTTGATTCCTAGAGTCAGGCGCAACCAATCAGTCCAGCCTCTTGTTGACTCATCTGATTGAACGAAAGTATACACACACCAAATCATAGAACATGGAGAACCTTCAAAAAGCACTCTTATTAATAATAGTCACCTCTCTAAGCGGCCGACTGGAGAGCCAATTATTGTCACGAACCAGACCCAATCGCGATGCCATCGCTCACGTGTACGATTACGTAGCTAGTATTCTAAGGATAAACTATACCCTGCTCTCACAATTCTTTCAAGGCAAAGTGTTACAACTATTAGACGAATCTATTATAGATTTTCCTATACCCTCTCTAAACAAACTCGCAATTCTATATTATTTCTAATCTCCAATCTCCAATTTCGAAATTTAAGAATAAAGAAACCAAAAAAACATATATATCCTTTTATACTACAGTATCATATCATTCAATTAATCAACTCAAACCATCTAAATTATCCAAAAAAAAAAAAAAAGATTTCCTGAAATTCAAATAAGGCTTCCAGATTAGATTTCAAAAGCCTAGCTTATATTCTACAACTCCAATCCCAAAGTTCAAGAACACAGAAATAGGAGAATTCATATAAATATCTTTTAGCTCGATATTGAAATATAGCATATAATTAGATATATTATTTTAAAACCTAGCTTTTAATTAATAATAATTAAATTACTCTTTATCTTTCTCTCTTTCATCTCCTCCCCTCCCTCCCCAGAACGCTTCTGTCTTAGTATCAGATGGGATACTATTTGATAACAATATGACTAACATAGAGATGATCAAACCCCGATACAGAAAACACATCACCCCAACAGCATACGAAACTCTTTCGAAACCCCTTCAGCAAAATGAAAGGATTCCCTCGCAGGCTCTAAAACACATCCTCCCTTCCCTTCTCCTCCCTCGAAAGGGAAACAAAATAACTAGAACCAATAAATCTCATCTAGTTTACACCCCCTCACACCCCCTCTCGCCCATCCACTATACCTCCCATCTCTCATCTTCCCTCTAAACAAATCCAAATCCAATCCAATTATTCTATCCCCACCCCCATCCCCATAAACGAAAGAACTTCTTTCAAACAAAACAGAAAAGCAATATCGATATATATCAGCCAAGAAGCAAAAAGGCAAAAAAGTAACCGAATAAGATTGTAGAATTATAGAAAAGGGAGAAAGAAGAAAAGAGCAAGAAAACATCAATACGTACTCCATTCAAACACACAATATAATCAATAAACAACGACTCGAAGCGAGAAAGAAAGAAGAAGCGAGAACTCCCCCTTGAAAGAATTTTCGAGATTTCTATTCAATCTCCTTGCAATTCGTGCCACTATTTCGCATCAAGCAGACATGCCACTAGGCTATATACTTAATTAATTCAATCACAATCAATAATTATCAATATATTTCTCAGTTCTCTCTCGAGTCCAATAGATAGATTGGCATCATCATCATCATCATTCATATACAATACAGCCACATCTTCAGTTCCAACCATGTGTGTTCATCACCCCCTATCCGCCTCTCTTTCATCCTCAACACCCCTCCTTATTTCCTCTGATTCGCTCATTTCCATATCCCTTCGTCCTATCCATCCATCCATCCATCCTTCCACCTGCAATACCCTTTGAAATCCCCATCATATAAAAGTGCGCAACGAAAAACAATCCGGCAATGACACCCCCACGCAATTCCCCATTTGATATAGATTCAGATTCTCGCTAATAAATCAAACCTCTGAACTGTGTCTTCCTTTCCATAAAGGGGGTATCTCTTTTCATGACATCATGAAATCTAAGTATTTCTTCTCTTTCGTGTATTTCTTCATCTGTTTGCTTCGATATAACCAAAATATTTTCTTCATATCCTCCATGTTTGATTTCGTTGTTTTTTGTTAATAAAAATTCGGCGTCTGGCTTTACTTAATACTACCGCTCGATATGAAACCTGAGGCTTATTCGTCGTCCTCTGCCTCTACGCACCAAGGGTGATCCATCACTTGCTCGATAGTCAATCTCGAATCAACATCCCGATTTAGCATACCTCGGATGAGGTCGATACTTTCTTCGCTCATAACATAAGGTACCCTAAGATCACGATCCATGATTTCGTCAATACTGTAGAATGGGTTTTCTTTATACACGATGGTGTAAAGCAGAATACCAAGAGCCCAAACATCTTGTGGTTTTCCATGATATGGTTTACCAGAGAGAACTTCAGGCGCAGCATAATCTGTGATGACATTAGATATAATCTCAAATTTGTTAAAGGAGTGAACTTACCAATGGTTCCTACGAAGACGTCAAAAGGACCACTCTTGATGTAAGCGGCACTTCCGAAATCAATGAGCTTGATACTTCCTTCACCATTAATGACTATGTTCTCGTCCTTAATATCGCGATGAACGACAAGAGCCTTGGTGTGAAGATGATGAATGGCACGTGCAACCTGTGCGAAGATGCTGCGACATTCCTTTTCCTCCATGTTAACTTTGAGCTCAATGTAATCAAACAGATCCATTCCTGGATAACCGTGAGGTACCATTTCGATATAGTAATTAACGGAATCCTCAAAGAAATCCGACATCTCCACGATATTAGGGTGCTGAAGCCCGTCCCGACGCAAATAATCAAGAACATGAATTTCAAGGGCACAGTACCCAGTCGACGATCGCGAGTCCAAGTATCGACAAGAATTCGCTTTTTGGTGACATATTTGAGGATCACCTTATTGTTACCATTCTTCTTGAATCGAGCAAGTTTCACCTGACCATAAGCTCCTTGACCCATTTCTTCCAATATTGTGAAATCATCAATGCTCTTCTTGACAACAGGTTTGACCTCTGCTGGAGCAGCTGGCTTCTCTTTCTCATGAGCTTTCGAAAAAGACCGATCGCGACCTGTAAACTTAGCCGCTGTTTTCTTTGCTGCGGCCTTCAGCTGTGCTGTGAGCATCGACGCATGCGATGTTTCGTTCTTGGGCTCATCGGAATCTGAAGAATCCATTTTGATGGGAGCTGGAGGTCCTGTTTGACCAGGAGAAGGCTGGTGCAATGGTGTTTCCAGTCCAGTCAACATGGGAGTTTCCATACCATTAGCAAGTTTTGCGGCGTGGATGTTCCTTGAGTATGTGATCCATAAAGCGTAGACAAGTTCGGATTTTATTACAGGCTCGTGGGGCGTAGGTCCGTCTTCCTCGTCACTTATTTCTTCGATAACATTTTCATCGTAAGCGGGAGTTTTAGGATCCGATTTTACAACTCTAAGTTGAGCGTCAATTTTGAGCTCTGAGCCGTCCCTATGTTTGGCTGATAATCCATCTGGCCTCAAGAAATATGTTGACGCATCGGCTTTTCCGTCCCGTAGTGCAAGAAAAGCTTGAGCCCGTCTAAAGCTGTGTTCAGGAATAACAATTCCATCAACCATATCCACACCATCTTCTTCGACTAAAATCTTCAACATCCTATCGAAATCGGGTATTAAATCGGTAATCAATCGACCATCGGGTTTATCCTGCCCAAATAATGCAGCAGAGAAAACGGAATTGGAACTCGTGATTTTCAAGGTTTGCGCAGAGAGAACCATGATGCCCGCAATATGAGGAAAGCTAGAAACGCGGAGATCTGTGCTGCTAGGAACTCTGTCGACGACTGCCGGAATATGAACACGTCCAGAGGTACGGGCGGTAAAATATCTCCGTTTACTGACTTCGGCATAATCGATCTCTCCACTCCTGCCATCGATTCCTTGGCGTGGAAGTCTTGGTAAAAGTTTCCCAATATCCATACCTGTCCAGTCAATATCGGTTCCCCATATCGCATCGATAGATCCAGATATTTTTGTTATGGCAGCATCGTCGTCAAGGCTGACGATGGCTACATCTTCGTGAATCTCTTCCAAAACCCAGATAAGGCCACCTCTCTTCTCCTTGACCCACAAGCTTGCCGAACCTGTTGCGCCATTTCGTTTCTCAATAGGTACTACGTCGCCGCATAAAAGAACGCCCCTAGATTTATTACTTTGATGATTTGAGCCACCCTTTGCTGCTCGTGTTCTCGAAACAAGACTGGAACCTGCACCATCGTCGGTTTGCGCTCGACGAGTAGGTTTCTGTACTTGACGCGAGTTAGGTTTACTCAAGAGGCTAGCCGTGATACCACCAGGCCGTCCAAGCAGCATCGATGCTGCGAGTCCTGGTCAGTATACAAGCAATGAAATTAAGGTTTTGAGATCGTCTGATTTTGAGAAAAAGAACTTACTGGTTGATGTTGAGCTTGATTGCTGACTTTGGTTCTGTGATAATAGGGTGGTCTGTTTTCCAACCCTGTGAAGACATTGTTAATATTTCGTGGGGAAATAAAATGCGGGGTAAGGTCTGAAGCCTATAAAGCGAAATATCAAAAGCTTCAGAATATGAAGATAATAAAGGTTTACTTACTCGGTTCCCAAGCTGTGTGCACTTAATTTTTCCTCCAACCATGGCCTTCTTTCTTTTTGTACAACTTCAAGGATACCCATTTTGCGGACCTCTGCTTTTGTAACACCAAATACGAGACAGGCGAGGTCGTTGGCCGCCAAAATAGTGTATGGTGAAGTACTCTCCGTGGTGAAGATAGCTTGTGCAGCAGGTGCCCACCTACTCGAATGACTGTGATTTGCTGATCCTAAAGAATGTCCGAATGT